TTCATAAATAAATGCCATGTTAAATGATGGGTTAATATTTAACCCATATAATCAAAATATTAATTAGTGCATTTTATCAAGTCTTCATTATAGGCAATGGTTAATAATGCTTATTAGCTTCTCTGTCATCAAATGGTACATCTCCTGTATGAATTAATAAAAAGGTAGGAATCAGAAAAATAATAAATATTCGAGTGCTCAGTATGTACTAGTTACTCTGTTAATAACACATTATATGTGTACACACACATATGTGATGCACACAACAGCACTAAGAAATAGGTACTCTCATTTCCATTTTAGAAACTGTGACACAAAGAGGGTTAGAAACTTTCCTAAAGTCACCAATGGTCTGATGCCAGAGTCTAAATACTTAACTGCATCTACTGCTTTATTCTGAAAGGAAGCAGTTTAAATGCTACTCATTGTCAGCTTTGTGTGTACCTGTTTGTGACTACGTTTAGCTATGGTTGGTGTTTTTTCCAGTTTTCTGCTTACATTCCTTAGGCTGTGTCTTCTCAGTATATTTTCTTGAATAAGCTTTCTTTTGGGAGAAAAAAGAAGAAAAGTGGCATTAATAAAAACTTCCTTTTGTATTTTTATTATTTTGATTTATATGCCGCATATCTTCTAACTAAAAATAACACCATGTCTAATTATAGGAAATGAAATCTAAATATTCTACATATTATTAATTATAAATTAATGCTCTTAAGTATTTATTGTTCATCAAGAAATACAAAAATATTTCTTAAATCTAGAAAAAAATAAAAATGACTATATTCTAAATAACCAATTTTGAAATCGATTCTAGTATTTCAAGGTGATCAAAAAACCTCTGGGGCAAAATCAGGAGAAATAACAGATGGAGAAAACAATTTTCAATTCACATAAGAAAGGCTAATCCCTATAAAATATTTTTTAAAGTATGTCTATAAAGCGATAGATCAACAGCCTAATGTAGAAGTGGGCAATAGGAAGAATAACTGACCCACAGAAAATGAAGTATAAATGTCTTTTAAAACCATGTGAGAAAGGCACCATAAAGAAAATGAAAAGATAAGCCACAGACCAGGAGAAAATGTTTGCATGACACTTATCTGATAAGACTTGTAAGCTCAATATATAAAGAACTCTTACAACTGAATAATAAGGTAAACAGTCTAACTTAAAATAATAGTAGGCAAAGTATTTTAACAGTTACTTTACCAAAGAACATACATACATGGCTAATAAGTACACGAAAATTTGCTCAACATCATCAATCATTAGGGACATGTAATTTAAAACCACAGTGAGACACCACTACACACCTACTAGCATAATTAAAATTAAAAAGACCTGTAATAACAAGGCTTACTGAGGATATAGAGCAATTGGAACTCTCATACACGGCGGATAGAAATGTCCAATGGTACAGCCACATTGGAAAACAGTTAGGCAGCTTCTTTTAAGTTAAACATACATTTACTACACAAACCAGCAATTTTACGTCTAGGTATTTACCCATGAGAATTGAAAACATATATTCACACAGAGACCTGTACACAAATGTTCATAAAAACCTTTTTTGTCAGCAATATCAGAAAATGACACTTTTTTCAGCTTCATTGTAGTATACTTGACAAATAGGAATTGTATATATTTAAAGGGTACAACTTGATGTTTTTCATACCAACCTTATTCAGAATCACCAAAATACTGGAAACAATACCAATGGCATTTACTGGTGAATGATAAACAAATTGATACATCCATGCAATGGGCTACTACTCAGAAATTACAAGGAACAAACTACTCATGTAAGCAACAGCATGGTGACTCTCAAAACCTTTACACTAAGTGACAGAAGGCAGACTCAAAAGGCTACAGCATGTAGGATTCCATTTATAGAACATTCTAGAAAGGCAAAAACCACAGGGACAGAAAACAGGTTAGTGGTTTCTTGGGGTGGGAGGAAGGGATTGCCTACAGAGGGGCTCAAGAGAACTTCTGGGGTGCTGGAAATGTTCTACATCTTGATAGTGGTGGTGGCTAAATAACTCGGTATTTGTTAAAACTCATTGAACTACACACTTCAAAAGAGTGAATTTTGTGTGTATGTTGTACCACAAAATCCTGATTTTAAAAAACTTTTTCTTCAGTTAAGTATTGTGAAGTTGTAAGCAAATCCTGATTTTTAAAAATCACATGAAAAAA